ATTAATATTTTACATAGACTTAAAAACAAAATTGAAAAGAAATTGATATAATATATTATATATTCATCTAAGAATGTATAAAATAAAATATAAAAATTAAGATTTCTCTAGTTTATTATTTCTTATCATCAATTACGTTGTTAATTAGACTTAGGTATATGAAAGCGTGCCACGATGTTATCGTTTTTAGGTCGTTTAATAAGGCTCGGGCCACACGATGCGTTTTTTCCACGTTGGAAAATATGACTGCGGAAATTCCGCAACAGCCGTGTTGAACCACACGATGCGGAATTGCCGGATGTGAAAACAAAAATTATTTATTTATATAATATAAATAATACATTAATTAATTTATATAATTAATATTTTGATTAAGATTCTAAAAATACTAAATACTAATATTATATTACGCTATTATGACCAGCTGACATTGCACAGTCAAAGTTATGCTTACGACAAGTACAGTCGATTTTTTTCACTATGAGTGCTCTTTTAAATATTATTTGCGCTGCAGAAGTATATGGTGAATTAGAGGATTTTGGGTACATCCACTCAACAAAAAATAGAGACAGAAGATTTGTTCGAAAACTTTTATAGTTTAATGCGAAAATTTCCTCAAAAGTTTTTTGAATATTACCGAATGTCGCTAACTTCTTTTGATAAGTTATTGGAAACAATTCGTCCTCAATTAACAAAGCAGCATACCAATATGAGGAATCCAATATGCGTTGAGCAAAGACTTACAATTACTATAAGGTAAGAAATAACTTTTTTTAACCATCATAGATAATAATATTTATTATGTACCTACCTCATATTATACATATCGAATATATTATTAATAATAGGTATTTTATAAACAATCAGTAAATAATTAGAAGTAGTATTTTATTATAATTTTAATAAATTATTTTACATTTATTTGTAATAGTACGAGTATAAAAAAAATTAAATCCCTGTATGTTTAAAATATGTTTTGTATAGCAAAATAAATTGAAATGTATAAACCATTTTTTTAATTTATTAATTTGAGGAAGTATTTGAAGGAAAATTAGAGGATATATTAGTTATTGAAAATATGGGATTTGAGGCATTTGATGTTTCTTGTTGATATTGTGACAATCGAGGTTGAGGTGTAGGCGAATACACAAGAGGCTGAGGGCCACTGAGGATATGGAGGTAAAACGATATGAGAGTTATTAGAATAATATGAATTGGTGATTTCAGGATGTCTATGCGGAGGTATATAGAAAGATGAGGAATTTTGATATGAGTTATCGTTGTGATATACATTTGCTAGTTGATAAGTTGAAGAACTAAGAAGATGAACTAACTAATATTATGAGATTTCTGTGCATTTAAAAAAAAATTAAGTGCATTAATGCGAAAATCTCATTTCTGCGAATCGTGAAGTTTTTTGTAGTCTGGTAATAAAGACAATAAAAAATGTTGATCCGGATCATTACACTCTAAATAATTCGGTAACTTATTTTGGAACAGAATAATAACGGGTTCTTTTGCATTTTTTTGAGTGTACTTGAGAAATGGATGTAGAGGCTATTCCATTCTGCTCAGTTTCACCAGTCAGGTTAATTTCTTCGAAAGTTTGTTCACCTTGAACATTTATTGTTTATGATTTATTTAAAATTTGCAAATTAAATAATAATATTTGAAATCAAAAATTGTTTATTTTTTTTATTATAATAATATGTAAACTATAGGTTAGGTATCCAAGTACGAAGTATATTAAACATAGTGGGTATAATAATAATAAGTAATTATTTTTTTCGTTGCACTTATATTATTATATATTTTTTTTATAATTTTAATACTTACGATTCTTATTGTTTTTTCTAAATAATTTGTAATTAATTTTTATATAATGGGCAATATTTTACCTAGACTTATGTAGTACCTATTCATACGGGTTAAAAAAGGTTAATTAAATGTACTTTTATTTTATTATTTTTTTTTTTTTTAAATATTACTTGTACTTTATTATAGATTACAACTAAGTTGTAGAAGGTAACAACAATTTGTGTATTATGTATACTTAAAACGGTAGGCAGGAATAGAAATAAAATAAAAATATTAATTTAATTACCAAAGTAAAAATGTAAAAGGATTAGGTGTCATTATTTTAACTTACCTTTTTCGTCTTTTTGTGATGGCGAAAGCTCATTCCATCGGCATACATGGCTTCAGCGACAGAATTCCAAGACAAGGCCCTTAAATTTTTGTCACTATATTCCTTTGACCCAACATCCATAAACATGGACTCATTCAATTTCAATTATCATTTTTTCATAATCAAACATTTTTAATACATTTTAGTACTATTCCGCAATGTAGTTTATATATCAGTACCGCATGCGGGATACCGGACCGTGTGGACGGCTTGATTTGAAATAATGTTATTTTCATTTGTGTCCGGTTTCGGCAATACGACATTTCCGCAGCTTGTCGCGGCAGGTAGCGGAAATGTTCGGGCAGCCGCATTGTGTGGACGGTTGTGTTTATAGCAATGCGTTTTCGTTTTTTTAACGCTGCCGCATGCGGAATCGCCGCATTCRATGTCTGCGGAAAAAACGCATCGTGTGGCCCGAGCCTAAGTTATCCGTCTAAGTTTAGTAGTACAACTGTTGTTATGTTGTGCAAGTTCATAATTTTTAAAATAAAACAGAAAATGGACTTGGAACCTAGTCCGGATTAAGTGTGATAGAAGAGAGCACTGTTTCGGGGCTCGTTGATTTTGGAGGCCCATTAGCACGAAAAATTACTAAATAATAATAATTATTAAATTGATATTCTGATAATACATTCATTATCTGTATATTTTTATTATTTACGATTATATAGGATAATCATTGATAATAGATATTTTTGGTCTATATGCATTGGGTTTGGAACCATAATATTAATCTAACGCTTAAAAAATAATTTTTAACTATGGATGCTTCGGGAAATTGTATTGGTCGATGGGTGGTCAAAATAATACAATTATATTCAGTAGTAAAACGTACTGTTACCATTTATTTTTAATTTAAAGTTGAAACAATAAGTGTATTTGTTTTCGCCGATACCGATCCTACGATTACGGAGGTTATAGGCAACGACTCACGATTTGTATTGAGGACGTGAGCGGGAGGGGTTACCCACACAAGTGCAAAAAATATAAGATTTTGCGTATAAGGATAAGTGACCGTACGGTATATAATACATTAATTATTAAATGATAATAATATAAAGCATAATATACGACAGTATACACTTATATAATTATTATAATATGCAGGCGCCCATGACATTAACATAATGGAATATAAAAATATAATATAATATTGAGTACAACGACCTCAAATGCCGTAATATATAAAAAAATATAAACTAATAACAAAGTTGTATAATTGAACACTAAGGTCGCAATAACAAAATAATAATAATATTGACAGTTGTCAATTAGTTGGCCACTGACCATGAGTGGACAACATATAATTTAGATGTATAATATGACCTGACCGCGACAGCAATAATGTACACGTTGACGTATGATGATCCCACGATGTAGAACGACGATGATATTATAGGAAAAAACTTGACTCAACCCGATCACAAGTTGACGTCAATCACACCTCATGTTCACACGAGGTTTTTTTTTTCGCAACACGCAAAGACGGTGAACGACGTTGTGCTCGGTTCGACCGTTGGAAAAAGACAAGAATACAAGCGGACGCCGGGGCCCGGGATGGCCATTGGCTGACGAATTGTCACAGGACAGTGGAGAGGGGAGCTTTGCCGGACATCTTATCTCCACCACACCTGTGTTGTGTTATCCGGGTTATCCCGAGTAAACATAAATAGGTGGCCAAAAAAAAAAACCGTTCCGTGATCGAACAGTATTGTTTGTATTGCGGGGCTCAATTAATCCTTAGTCCGGGCTTGTTTGGAACATCTAACCACTGTGTGAAACGAGCCTATTTTATTCTGAAATTGTTTAATATTTATTTTGGTAAGAAGGGTGAAAATATTATGTCGTGGCTGGTTCGAATTGGCATGCTGGGAATAATATACTTTTTAGATCAGATATTAAAAACGCGTGGTAAAAAAATAATCGTTTCTTTATAAGTACTATGGGGAGAGGCTAGAGGGGCTCAGCCCTGTGCCTCGACATAATTAGGATCCATATATTATATTGCTCTAATACAGTAAAATGTATTTTATTATTTATATCAATCAACATTAAATATTACAATTACTTAAAGACTTATCTTATAATTTATTTATAATCTAAAAATTTAAATTAAATAAAAAAATGCAAGAGAAGTTTGAGTTAATCTGCTCAAAATTCTTAGGTAGAGCTTTGATGTCTATATTATAGTCTAAAGTCCATGCTTCTCTACCTTTTTTTATGATGACGCTCTAATTTGCGGATCCACAAAAACGCAACATTCTTAAAACAAATAATGTATTTTTAAAAAGTAACAATATAACCTATTGTAATAAGTAAATAGAGAATGAGACTGTCTTCACAACTGTTTTACTTACCTGTGGATTTTACCATCACGTTATGACGCCATAATAATGACATATATTTATATTTAGAACACCTAATGTTATGGTAGGTACATATGAAAATAAACAATTTTTTTTGTGTTCATATTACTATTATAAAAATATAAAAACTTTAAAAAAATGTTTTACTGGGCATCATTTATTTATTATTTTAATTTTCTAGACTTTCATAAAAATTACTTTCCTACAACAAGACGGTGCCATCTTTTTCCAAAGGCAAGTCCACCACCTCTTTATCACCATCATTTGTTTCAGAAACTTGGACGAACGACATGGCGTTGACCAAACGAAAAATTCGACAATGCGCAAATTTCGAGTGACTTCTGAAAGATGGTTTACTGTTTTATTGATTTTACCGAGCCGTGTAAAGACGATAGACAACGCACAAATAAAAAAAGTTAACGATTGAACACAGAATAATTACTTACCAGCTGGAGTACTGGACACTGAAGTAACAATACGTGAACGAAACTACGTAAGATGTACACTAATGTACAGACATAGACATAGGGTACACAAAGTCGTCAGTCCCAGACCAAAGACTAGTAGACCCGTAGATTTTAGTACTACAACACTACTACAGAGCACAGAGCAAAATATAGACTATAGTAAACTTGGTAGAGCACAGATTACTAAGTACAACCCGCGATTATAGAATAAAGAATTAAGATATAGATAATATACATTAAATCGTAATTCGTAAATAAAACGTACACTACGTCATAGAACACGTAAGTTGTAGTGTATCGTACACAATTTTAATGTAAACAGGAATCGAGCGTCAGTGGCAAGCGGAGACACTGAAAACATTGTTACCAACCGAATAATATAATCCATAAAGTTATGTCGCAGAATAGATTAAATTTAATCTACTATGTGGTCGTGTTTTGCTTGGTTAATACTTGAAATTATTATGTAACAAATGGTTAGGTACAGTCCGGTGGCGTCGGGGTCCTTAAAAAATGGAAGTTCAAAATATCGTTTTAGTTAGAACCTACCACTCACCCACCCGAATACCCGATGGACCAATAACCAATAGTTAATACATTTAAACATATTATAACATGTATAACTATATAAGTATCAATTAAATTATTTTAGTATAATATTTACAATAATGTACTCTAGATACATAATGTTACTGATGATTGATGAAAGATGAAACCTAATTACCTAATTACCTAACAAAGCAATAGCCAGTAAACAGTAGTATTCTCACTGTGGTGGATGAAACTTGCTATATTCACAATGTAAATTTAATAAATTCATCAGTTTCAAAAGTATAAAATCCTTTAAACCGATGATACAAAGTTTAAAGATATAAAAGGAGTTAATTGTATACATATAAGTATATAACATATTAATTTAAAAAACAAAATTCCATAAAACTTAATAAACGAACTACTGACGGAAACAATTTTTATGTTCAAGATTTTGACGTTCAAGGTTTTGAATGTTCAAAATACTGATATAATTTTAAATTCATGATTTTATCGTTCAATATTTTGACGTTCAACCATTTGAAATTCAACCGTTTGAAGGGTGTCCACTAAAAATTATTGTATCATTACCCTTTTAAAAAAAAATTATGATAGTAAATAACTAATAAGTAGCTAATTATAGTATAGAGTATTATAGACAGTATAGTCGTATAGTGGAAAAGTGGAAACATTATTTTATATTCAATATATTAATAAATTTAACGTTTTGGTAACACAACTTTACTTTATGCATTTAAACATTTATACTTTCGTACTTAAGAGTAACTAATAAATAAATGTTTCCACTTTAGCAGTATAAGTGAGATTATGAATAATTTTATTTAACTTTTATAGTATATATTTTAATTTAATTATACAGTCTTATCATAATATTAGTGTTTCTTTTTTTATTTATTAAAAAATTTAAGTTAGATTTTTTGACAATGTAGAACATAAACTTGCAAATATATTGATCACATCTTCATTATTTATATATCGTTATATAAAAATTTGAAAATAAAATTTAATCTTATTTATAAAGGAATGAAAAAATTAAACAAAGGAAAATCAAAGCATTTGATTGGTTTTGAATAAATTAGAAAAAAAATAAATATAAACTTTTATAAATACCATTTGTTAAAAAAAAAATGGTTATATTCGTTTACCACATCCAGAATTCAATGATAATAATAAATTTAAAATAGGTCTCGAATCAATGTATTTAAAAAGGTTAAATTTGATTAATATTGAATCAGATTGTAAAATAGAAGTTGAACATAGAGTAATACATATAAAAAAAGGTATATATAGCATTTCATATTTAAATTAATTAATTGAACCGGYATTTTTATCTTATAATAATAAAAAAAATCAAATTGAATCTCCTTGTTATTATAAATTAGATGAAAAATTTAAAAAAAAATTAGGATTTGAAAATACAGAATTTGATTTTTCATTAGTTGTTAATACTTTAATGTATTGTCCTACTTCCGAAGAAAATATATAAATATAGATCAAGAATGTACATTTAGATTAGGTAGAAATGGTGAAATACCAAAAAGAGAAATTCCAATAGGAATATACACAATAAATGAAATTGACAATTTAATGAATTTTAATGATTTTCCTAAAATAAGTTTTGAATTAATTGATGGTTTTTTAAATATTACAGCCTCAATCGGTCTATGTTTTGATGAATATTTATCAAATTGTTTAGGTATTGATTATATTGGATATTTAATCTCTATAAATAAGGTATGGCCTGATTCATGGAAACTGGATCCTGGTATTGAATATAAAATAACAGGATCAAACCAATTTTTTATACACAATGTTTAAAAAAAATATAAACGGTGTTATATTTAACCAAACAAATAAATCTGATAAAATATATAAAACTGAAATTAAAGGTAACTATTCAATTGATCAATTGAATAGTTTATTACCTTCAAGTATCAAATTACAAAATGAAAATAATTTTATTAAATTACATTCAAAAAATAATTGTTTGATAGACGAAAATTTAAAATTAAGTTTAGGGATTGATAATATTTTTTATATAAACATGAAGGAGATTCTGAAAAATAAGATAATAATATAAATAAACAATTATTAGAAGTATATTGCAACATAATTGAAAAGTCTGTTTCATCTATTGATGAAAAGGTTATCGAAGAGGAACTTTTGTTTGTTTTTAATTATGATTCAAATAATCTTTTTATAAGATGTAATCCAATAATGTACAGACAAGTAAATGTAAGAACAATTCAAAATATAAATATATATTATATTCTTGATCAAAATGGTGATATTGTTAATTTTGGTGATGATTTTATTGTTTATCTTGATCTAATTGAAGAAAAAACAAAATAAATATTTAAATTATTTTTCCATAGAAATATTTCTATATTTCTAAATAATTTAACTGTTTTAATTGTTTTTAATCAGTCAAATTATTATATTGAAATAATATGGTCCAATTTTATTAGCAAAATTATACCATTGGACAAATTTAAAGAAATTTTTAGAACTTATTGTAAAACATATGATAAAAAAAATAAAATAAAAACATATGGTTTCATAACAATAGAAATAATAAAAATGTTGATCTATGACAATAAAGGTAATACTATTTTAAGTATTGATGAACGATGAAAATGATTTTTTTATTTTTTATGTAATAAATGGATATCAAACAAATTCAAAAAGAATTTAAAAAAAAAAATTTTAAAAAAAATAACATTTGAAGACCAAAACAATTCCAAGGTAGGAAATAACTTAGAAAACGAAACAGAAAAATGAAACAATTAATTCATCTTAGACAAAATTTACAAAAAACTTTTAAAAAATCAGATTTAGAACAATCTGAAAGAAAGTTAAATTTTATAAAAAACGATGAAGATGAAGGTAACAATAATAACACGTTCCCTATTCAGGGACATGTTGAATATACACCAAAAAAAATACAAAAAATAATTAATCTTAAAAAAAAATTTACAAAATAACTATAGAAAAAACAGTTTTAAACGATAAATATACATCAGAAGAAAAAGTAAAACATTATGAACCAATATTAAAAGCCTTATCAAATGTTGAATCATCTGTTAATGATGTTAAAGAGGTTGCTATTAAAACCGATAATGATATTCAGAAGATGATAATACCACCTTATAAACCTAAAAATCCAGAATTACAACGATTAATGAGTACAGAWGAGACTTTTRAAACTCCAAAAAATTCTCGTAAAAAATCAATAGCTAATTCTCCAATTCCTGCAAATATTATAAAATTAGGCCCTATTGCAACAAAATATCTACCAACAGTAGAACCCAATAATTGTTTTGGAATATATTATAAAAAAGATTTTAAAGATCATATKATCGGGAAATGTATAATAACATTTGAAAATGATGATATATTTTTAAATGGGAAAAAATATAAAGGAACTGTAGGTTTGTGGAGATTATTAACTCATTTAGATGTTACCAAACCTGAATATTATCTTCTAACCAAAATTTAGATTAATGTAGATATAGATACAATTCATGTAATTTTTTTTCTCTTTATATATATTTCTCACTTTGAACCCAATGGCCCATGTTGCCGAAGGTATCATTAATAAAAATAAAAAAACCTGAATATTATACAGATGATGACTTTAAAATATATAAAGAAATATTAATAGAAACTGATTCTATATATCAAAACAATAATAAATCAACAGGAAGAGCTAAATCAAGTGGTGGTGCAAAATATGTATCAATGATTAGCAATATTTGGAAAGAAATGAATGAAAATAAAAGGTTAATAACAAAACCAATAGGAGAGGGTTTAAGACACATATGATCATTGATCACACATATGATCGTATTGAATATCGTTATATTGATAATATGAAACAATTAACAGACAGATTACAACTTATTTCTGCAGAAGAAGGAGCAGGAAGTAACAATTATCATAACGAAAAACTTGGTACTCTACATTTATGTAAAACAAGTAAGGAAAAAATTATTGATACTCCTAAAGGTATTGAATATTTATTACTATATGTAACAAACTTACCAAAAGAAGTTGTAAAAATATCAAAAGATTCCATAATAAAAAATATATTTTTTATATCAAATGAAGAAAGAAAAGGAAATAATAATTATCATGATGAAAAACTTAATATACTTAATTTTTGTATTAGAGAAATGGAAAACATAATTGATATTCCAAATAATGGTGCATATTATTTATATTCATATTTTTCATGTTTACCAAAGAAAATTATAAAAGGTTCAGGATTTATTAATAATTTTTTGAATTGCTCATTTTTACCTGAATTGCATTGGTCTGGTTATAATTATTTAGGACCGGGAACAAAATTAGAAAAAAAKAAAAAACCTATAAACAAATTAGACGAAGCTGCAAGAGATCATGATTATTTTTATAAAGATCATRTAGATACTAAAACAAGACATGAAGCCGATAAAATTTTAGAACAAAAAGCAATGGAAAGATTTAATGCTCCTGATACGGATATCAACGAAAAAATGCCAGCTCTTTTAACTGCATATGCAATGAAAACAAAAAGACATTTAGGAATGAACTTAGTATTTGAATAATTTTTAAATATTTTGTAAAATAAATTGTATTTTAAATTAACTGAAAGCCAGAAAAAAAAGTTGGCTGAAGCTTATAAAAATAGTACAAATGCAATAATTCAAATTGCCGGTAATAAAATATATTAAGGAGAAAATATTTATTATTTAGATCAAAATCAAATAGATAAAGTAAAGAACAGTAAGGAAAAAAAATCTGGTGTACGGTTAGAGATTGCTCTGAAGCAGATTAAAAAAAAAGAAGGGGGATTTTTACCTTTAATTTTACCCTTTCTAGAAGGTGTAGTAGAAGGTGCAGTAGTAGCTACTCCAGCTATAGTTGCATTGTATGATAGTTATAAAGATAATAAACATAAGAAAAAAATGGAAGAAGAAACAATTAGACATAATAAAGAAATGGAAAAAAATAAAAGTTCAGGATTGAAGAAAAATTTAAGTTTTTAAAGGAGTTTACACGCTTTTTTTGGATCAAAGAAAAAAATATAAATATTGAACCTTTAAGTAACTGATATAAATAAATTTGGAAATAATATAAACAATTTTAGAGGGTGTTACATGCGAAATGAATTACCTATGAAACCATGGGTAAATGAATGTGGAATTCTTAATTTAAATGATTCTACTCAAAATGGTTTTCATTGGGTTGCATAGAAAAAAATGAAAAATAAAAAAATATATTTTGATTCTTTTGGATTGCCTTCTCCTCCTAAGGAACTCGTAAGTTATTTAGGCAAACATAATCTATGGTATACCGATAGAAAATTTYAAGATTATAATGATCCTCCTATATGTGGTCATTTGTGTTTAGAATTTATTGAAAATTATAAAAAATTTATTTAAATATATCTAATATATTAAAATATTTTTAATAGAAATAATTTAGTTATTCAAAAATCTTGAATAGTAAATCTTTACAATTCTTAAGCATACTCTTAAGTTCCTCGATTTCATGTTTATATTTTCTATATTGTACTTCATATAATTTGATGTGATCTCTTAACGGATTAAAAAAATAAAAATAATTTATTTTACATTTATTACCTAAAAATCGTGTTTGTTTCTCAATCTCCCTTTTATATACTTTACATTGTATTTCACGTGCTTTGATTTGATTTTCTAACAGATTAAAAAATTCACAATCGTTATAATTTTTCATTTCTTCTTTATAATAGGTACCTATATAGTAAATATGTATATTTTTTGGATTTGGAATGTAAAATATTTTAGTTATTATTGCATTTCAATTTTAATTATTAATAAGTAGATATTATGAAAAATATTTTGCGATTGTATATTGCATTTCAATATTAGAAAATATTGAAATATTTTTTTGGGGAATATTGCATTTCAATTTTCAATTATTAATATCATAAGTTCTATGAATAATATTTTAATTATTATTGCATTTCAATTTTAATTATTAATAAGTAGGTATTATGAAAAATATTTTGCGATTGTATATTGTATTTTAATTGTCTGATCTTTTTGCACATTGTTTTCTTTGTGATCTTTTATTGATGATATAAGGAGTGCGCCAGGACCGGCATAATACTACTCGGATAAAACGCGTCTCGTTAATAAATTGTATTTAATATGATGGTCGCACATTGGACCGCAGTGCTTCAATGGCACCCATGATATTATCTAGTAGACTCCCCACTTCGAAAACCTATTGACAATATTATTTTTAAATATAATACATTTTATAATATTATATATTATGTCTAAGTAGCGACAATTAATTAACTTATAACTGATAAGCATAGTATAATAATGCTTAGTGTTGTTATAATGATAACTGATTAATACTATACAATAATATTATGAAACGTCGTGGGTCCGTGGGTGTGTACGTAAACTGAGAATAACAGTTTGTCAATGTCCATAGTGTACACTGATCAGTAAAGCAGTCAATATCCAGTATTCAAACATGAAATATCATTTCAAACAACATTTTTAATTAAAATATTATTAATAATATTAATATTTTAGTATTGTTAATACTTGATAACTATTCCGTCAAAACAATTCTAGATATAGCAGTAATACAAATTTTATAAATATATAGGTATACAGCTTAAATCCAGAAGTTGGTAAGTATATTTTGTTGATTTTAATCATTCAATAATACCTTCTTAATAGTACCTATTTAACATACCCTCTGTAATCTTATTATTAATTCCTTTTAGGCTTTTAAGTTTTAATTAATTAATTGTTATCATCATTATATCATCAGTCATCATTACTCAAACTGTTTATTTGGCACTAAACAATGATGATGATAACAATGTAATCAAGTGTATTCATAATAATATAATTAAGTGTATAAATTAGCTAATTAAAGTATTTTGTGTAGATTTTTTAAAGCTTAGGTTTTTGTTTAATTAGTAAGCACTAAGCAGTTACATAGAAATTCAGAAAGGTTTTGATCAATATAAAATTATATATATGAATAATATAAAACGTAAAAGACAGAATAATGCATAGTATAAGCAGGTTATTAACATTTTTGTGACCTGATCGTAATTTTATTGGTAAAAATCTACTAAAATACATCCGACATATTTCAATACATAAAATTATATATATGAATAATTTAAATTTAAAAAAAATTACAATTTATTTAGGCGGATAGGGATTAAAAGTTGACATACCTTAAAATAGTGTTTGATGCTTAGACGATATACATTATAATCATTATATACAACAATACTATATACAATATTAACATAATTATAATAAATAGTATAGCAACGATAACATAGATAAACACTCATAATAAAATAATAACAATTTTGAGTGTTCGCGTATTATAATTATTATCTAGGCGTAACAGTAAAAATATAAGTAAATATAATATAATATACCTTAATATATTTCGGATAATTTTTTACCGTTTACTTTAAATTTTTAAATAATTAATATATTTATATAACTTATATATTTTATCGTTTAATAATATCCTTGACAACAGACAGTATATAAAGACACAGTCGCCATATTCAGTGAAGCCGTGTCGTTAGGTGGTTATGAAATGTGATAAATTAATAATTAACACTTAAATCGTTTTACCTAAACAACAATATTATTTAATTTGGTATACAAAAAGAAAATTCGGAACACCGTGATAGAGAAACAACTATATAGGTCTACAATTGAAACGTAGATAGTTGAAATCGTGATGCTTTGCCCGCGACACGCAAGATAAATATTAATAAAATTAAAAAAAAAAACAAGTATTTATTTATCATTGGTAAAAATAATTGAAACAAATCGATTAACAGCAAATAATTAATAATTAATTAACTTCATTTTCCCACTTCAAACAATCATAAAAACATTTCATTTTCTAAAATTTACCTTTGTCGCTTTTAATATTAATTTAAATTAGAATTCGTATGTTGTGCATATTCAAAATATCGCTTCAACATTGTCAAATATAATATTAAAATCTGTCATATTAAAATATTAAAATTTTTTTGTAATACCTAGTTTTTAACCATTTATTAATAACATTTTAATTTCGTGATTTAATAATTAACTTATTTTTAGAGCCCTATTAATTAACAAAATAAAATATCTTCACAATTTCAAATTTACAAAAATGCTTAATTATAGATAATAAATCAGAGGTCAGACAATACCAGTTCTGGTTATACAATAATAGAGGGTGAGCAGCGATATTTGTTGAGATCTTAGAGCTTTGGTTTTTGTTTTAAATTAATTCAACATTTTAATTCAATTCCTCAATAATTAATTTACTAAACAATATTTCGGACTAAAATCTCAACAATAACTAGCAACCATTTTTTTTTTTTATAACTACTTATAATTTATATTTTGAATTAAGTAAATAAAAATATAACTAAATAAATATTTAATGACCATTGGAAATTTATAAATATATTATTATTAATTATTTACTTAATAATTGAAACAATAATACTATTTCTATGTACATCATATTAATGTATTGAACTATTACTTATTATATTGGCATTTGATTGTTTTTATTAGAAAAGAGGGATCAAAAGTATCATAAATTATTTAAGTTCAATTTTAATTATTTATGTACCTACATTATTGTTATATTATTGCATAGTTCGTGTTTACTTCTTAATTAACTCATTTGACATTTGATTACTTAAAAATAATACATTTTAGGTACCTATTTAGAATTAGAATTTACATTGACACATAACATTCAGTCAAGCACCAAGTGAATAATACATTTATAATTATATAGGTATGGCAGAAGACTGTGTATCCAAAAATTATAACCTAAACATTTAAAATATTGATGTAATCAATTCATATCATTAAAATTATTATTTATTAAATACCAGTGTAATTAAAAAAAGAAACAATAAATAACTTAAGGTATAATTAAAGAGAAAATATCTTTATTATTGATAGGCAACTTATATATTATATATCAGATATTAGTTTTAAGCATTGTTGTGTTTGATCATTTATAATGTTTAATTGAATTAAAATTTTTAAAGTTATATGCTTTAGATAGGCCATTCAGTCATTATTTCAGTTAACTTTCTCATCGTTAGGCAGTAGGTACTTATTTTGGGTAAGTCATGAAAACAGCAACTACTATTAGTACTATTGAATGCAGATATCATCAAAGGTATGAAACAATGTATTGAGAATATTAAGGTATAT